GTGGGAGTGCGCATCACACGTATAAACATGGGTGTTAGTCTGCGTACGCTTGGATGTGATCATGCACTTGCTTGTGTGAACGTGTGTGTGAGTGTGTATGTGCGTGTGCATGCACATGCATGGTTCTCTGGGAGAGGGTCTCTGCTTGTTATTGGATTCTCAAAGGGTTCAGGCCCCGGGTGAAGGACTGCCAAGTTCTCCCGCACAATTCCTTGGTGTTCCTCCCTCAGTGGGGACTCCGGTCAGCCCTCCACGGCTCCGCCTCTGTCCTTGCAGTAGCTTCCCTGTTCCTGCTTCTGCTCCCTTCCCACAGAAGCGAACGGTCAGTGTGACTCTGGAAGGCACAAGTCAGATCACCTCCCACCTCCGCTCAAATCGCGCTGTGGCTCCCACTCAGCCAAAGTGAGGTCAGAGTGCTATGGGGGGGGAGGTGTCACAAGTCCCCGCCTGGTCTAGGTTGGTGCCTCCCTGGCCCCCCTCCTCCACACTGTCCCTGTGCTCATCAACCTGCTATGTGGTGGCTGTTTCTTCCATCCAGACCTCTCTTCCCCCCAGGTACCCATGGGGCTCCTCCTTTTTCCAGTGTCAGTGCAAATGCAGGGCCTCCCCCAGCACCCTTTAGGGTACGGCTCCCGATCCCTTTGTCTACTCTCCTTTCTCCATAACACTTTTTTTTTTTTAAAGATTTTATTTATTTATTTAACTGGCAGAGAGAGAGAGACAGAGAAAGAACACAAGCAGGGGGAGTGGGAGAGGGAGAAGCAGGCTTCCCGCCAAGCAGGGAGCCTGATGCGGGGCTCGATCCCAGGACCCCGGGATCATGACCTGAGCTGAAGGCAGCCGCTTAACCAACTGAGCCACCCAGACGCCCCTCTCCGTAACACTTCTGACCACCTAGCCTACAAGTTAACTTCCTATGTTTCTTGTTCTTTTGCTTGTCTCCCCCCACCCCTGCTCCCCAGAACATAACACCTACCAGGACAGGGATTTGTCTGTCCTGCCCCCACTGCTGTCACCCCAGCACCTAGCACAGCCTAGCACATAGTAGGTGCTCAATAAATACTGTCGCATAAGCTTCAGACCACCTCCTTCCCTGGCCCTCATGCGCAGTGTCTACTGTGGGGGGGCAAGGGATGGCGGAAACCCAGAGAGGACAGCACTGGCCTTCCAGGCAGGGGAGACCTTGAGACTGAAACAGTCCTCCTGTTAGGGCTGGGACCGCTGCGTGGATGCAAATGGATGTGACCCAGGACGCCAATCGCTCTTGGTACCATGAGCTGCACACTTAGGTGGGCCCTGGCAGCCACTCCTTGAAACTCGGGAGCCTGCTGTCTGCAAGCCCTCCTCCTTCCCCGGGCAGCCCCCACCAGCCCCACGTGCTGGATCCCCATGTGAGGAACAGAGCCCACCCGATGGCTGAGAGGCAGAGCCGGGACCTGGACCCCAGAGCCCAGTGCTCTGGCCAGCAGGCGCCAGATTCCCTCTGCGTCTTCTCCCTCACGGCAGCCAACCCCACAGAGAGAGGAAGGCGAGCACATGTGGGGTGGGGTGATAGCCACTCACTGATTGGGAGCCTACTGTATGCCCGCCTCTGGGCTCCAGGCTGCGGCAGAGCAGAGAGGAATCAGACTCTCTCCCCTGCCCCCAGGGGGACCCCGACCAGTGGATGAGCCAGAAAGACAGCAGGGAGGCGGCCACACGGTCCAGCTAGGGGGCTGGGAGGGTGGAGGCAGCATCAGCTGGGCCTCAGAGGCTGGGGCAGATTTGGAAACACAGCAAGAGAGGGGAAAGGGCATCCAGGCTGAGGATGGATGGGTAAGGAACTAGTCATAGCTAGAAAGTGGGGGCGCAGGGTGCGTGGAGGGAGTAATTCAGCCTAAGAAACCCCCACAAGCTCCAAGGGCACCACAGGTGCTGAGGGAGGGCTTGGCAGTGACACCCACTGCAGCCCACGGCCAGCCCAGGAGGGGGACCTGCAGGAGTGAGGCTCGGGGGCTGGGTCGCAACCAGAGGTCACACCAGGGGGAGAAGTAGACACGCCCACACCCGCAGGTGGGTGCCCACACCGACGCATGCATGGAGCAGGCCCCCATCTGCTGGTGAGAGCACCCGCTGGGACACTCCCTCCCCTTGTGTCTCGCGCACATGCACCCCGGAGCCTGGTGCACACAGACCCACAGACACACTCCCTGTGCACACACACAGAACACGCGTCTAGGGCGCCTGGGTGGCTCAGTCGGTTAAGCGACTGCCTTCGGCTCAGGTCGTGATCCTGGAGTCCCGGGATCGAGTCCCGCATCGGGCTCCCTGCTCGGCGGGGAGTCTGCTTCTCCCTCTGACCCTCCCCCCTCTCATGCTCTCTATCTCATTCTCTCTCAAATAAATAAATAAAATCTTAAAAAAAAAAAAAAAAAGAACAGGCGTCTACACCCACAAGCTCTGCTGGGCACTCCCCACAAACTCACAGGAGAACATTCCACAGGGCCACCCCAGGGAGGGCAGGGCAAAGCATGCTCCCCGCCCCCAGAACCGCCCTCCTGCCTCCCAGTACCCTGCTTCACCCGGCCAGCACCTGCCTTGGCAAAGGGGCCTCGAAACACCATCAACAGAGCTGAGGCACGAGCGGAGCGATGCTGAGTCCCACCCTGTCCATCCTCCAGCGGCCTTGGCTTCTGGGGCCCTTCAGCGGGGCTCCATCCTCACGGCTGCTGAGCCAAGTCCCTGCCTGCACTAGGGGTCTTGGAGATGCCTTGGGTCAGCAGGTTCTCTTGTCCTTGTGACAGCCAGGAATCGGAGAAACAGGGTGCTGCTGGGAGTCTTGCTCAGGGTCCAGGCTGTGCGCTGGAGCGGGGCTGATGGGCGGAACTAGAGGAAGGGAGAAGTTCACCCACGAAAGGGAGCTACTGTCAAGGCCTGAGGCTGTCGGAACTTCCCCGATGGGGCGGACTGAGCCTCACGCCCGTGACCTGGGAGGGGCCCCAAGGGCATCTCCTGCGGCACCCAGTGCCCTCACGCCTGTGGGGGGGGCCCTCGCGGCACCGCGGCAGCAGGGATCCCGGGACAGCTTCGGTGGCTGCGAGAGATCCGGGCGGTGGGCCGGAAACCGGTCAGAACAAGCCAGTTTCTTCATCGGCACCATGGCCCTGCCGTGGCTCCACCACTGCTCTCGGGCTCTTTAGCGACTCCTCCTGGGATGGACGTTCCAGACCTTTCCATGCCAGCCGCGCTCCCTTTGGCCCGCTGTCCCCCCGTCGCCGGGGCCTGACTCGCACACACACCCGAGGCCTCTCGCGGCCCCCAACGGGCCGTCCTCCAGGTTATGCAACCGGCTTTTGCGGTGAGGCTTCTGGAGCTGTTGCTCGCTTCCTGCAAGGGGCTGCGCTCGCAGCTTGGAGAGGCTCAGGTGCTCAAAAAATTCTGGTGTAAAGAAAGCTCAGCCGTGTCATGGGCTAAGACCGTGGATTAGAACACGGATGAAGACAGCGAGGCTTGAGTTCTGCTATCGTCGCTGCTTTGGGCCATTTTCATCTCCCTATGCCTCAATTTGTCCTTTTGTACCAGGGGAGGAAGAAGTGTATCTACTGCGTGGGATTATGTCAGGAGTAGGTTCAGACATGTTCAGTGCTTGGGACATAGTGAGTGCCATTATTACCACTATTACTGCGGCTCATAGGTGGTCAGTGCTCAGAAACTGGCTGTTCAGAGTCGTCCCCCCGCCCCCACCATGACTTCCTTCTGGAATCTTCTAGTTGGGAGGGGTCTTTGAAAGCCCTGGAGTTCCAGCCCAGTCCATTGCACAGTGAGAAAACAGGGACCAGAGAGGGGCTGGGGCCTGCCCAGGGCCATAAGAAGCTAGCTGCTAGCACAAGAGCCCATAACCATGGCCTTCAACCATGGCAGTGCACATGGCCCAAGGCCCTGAGGCCCAGACCACTTGCCTTGGCTGGGCATTGCCGCCCTTCAGGATGTTTGACCGCTGCCTCTGGCCGGGACTGGGGCCGAAAAGGTCTGGGCCCCATGATGTGAAGAGGCCCTGCCAGGGCTGGGGCCTGTGCAGAAGAGACACCCTGCTTCTGGTACCTTCTCTGGAGGTCAGAGCACCCACCCTCAGCTTAGGATCAGGATCTTCAATGAGTCTAGACTTTGTAGGGCCTGCTGGCTTTATACCTTCTCGGGGGGATGTTGGTGGCATGGGCAGGCTGTGGAGAGAGTTGGGGTGGGAGTCAGGAGCCAGGGTTCTAGAACAGTCCACACCCCTTGACTCACTGAGTCACTTGTACAGTGAGGGGCGTGGCCTTGGGAATTCCTCAAAGTTAGATGGGCTCCTCTCCCAGGTCACAAAGCCAATTCTCTGAACTTGTCCCCACAAGGCATGTCACTCCTGGCAGGGGCGAGGTAACTCAGGCCAGGGAAGGGGGATCATCGGGTGGGGGATGGTAGAGGCCATGCAACAGGTCAGGAAGGGGCCCAGCTGAGCAGGGAGCCTCCTGCCCAAGGGTCTGACTCTCCTATGGCCTTAAGTCTGTCAGTGCAGACACATGACCCACACTGGCCCCTTTCATCCCTTCTGCCCCAGGGTGGCCTGTCCTGGCAGAGGGTGGGTAGAGAAGGCCGGAGCCCAGGGACGGAGGCCAGGGCTCAGAGTCCATGGGAGGGGATGCGCGGGCCAGACTGTCTTAGTGCCCACCAGGATTCCCATCACCACTGCCCTGCCCTGCATGCCCCCCAGGAACTGCCGGACCACCTCCAGCCCTGCAAGGCCCCCACCAGGGCTGCCAATGCTCCCTGGGGCTTGGAGTTTCCCTGGAGTACAAGAAAGAATCAGGATCCCCTGTGCCTTGCCGGAGGGAAGGTAACAATAGTGCAGCTGCTGGGGAAAACAGTATGGCAGTTCCTCAAAAAATAAGACACGGACTTACCATGTGATTCAGCAATTCCACTTCTGGGTACATAGACCCCAAAACTGAAAGCAGGGACTTGAACAAATATTGATGCACCCATGTTCATAGTATTTTTATTCACAATAGCCAAAAGGTGGAAGCAGCCCAAGGGTCCACTGCTGGATGAACGGTCTGTGCATACATCGGAATATTATTCAGCCTTCATAAGAACGGAAATGCTGACGCATGCTGCCCTATGGGTGAACCTTGAAGACGTATACAAAGCGAAATGAGCCAGTCACAAAAGGACAAATACTGTATGACTCCACTTACACGAGGTACCTAGAGGAGTCAAGTTCATAGAGACAGGAAGAACGGCGATTGCCAGGGAATGGGGAATTACTTTAAACGGAATAGTTTCAGGGACACTGGGTGGCTCCGTCGGTTGAGTATCGGACTCTTGATCTGAGCTCGAGTCATGATCTCGGGGTCCTGGGATCAAGTCCCACGTTGGGTTCCGTGCTCAGCAAGGAGTCTGCTTCTCCCTCCCTCTCCTTCTGCTCCTCCCCTTGTGCTCTCTCTCTCTCTTTCTCTCCCTGAAATAAATAAATAAATAAAATCTTAAAAAAAAATTCAGGGTACAGTTTCAGTCGGGGAAGATGGAGAGCTCTGGAGAGGGATGCTGGCGAAGAGAGCCTGACACGTGAAGGCACAGCGTGCCACAGAACTGCGCAAGGTCGAGTTCGTGTGATGTACATTTTACCGTAACGATTAGGAAAAGGAATTAGGAGGTGGGGAGCAGGCCCCGGGGGATGGGTAGAGCATGATTAACTCTGTGACCCCAGCAAAGGCCCTTGACCTCTCTGTGCCTTCAACTCCTTCCCTTCGAGTGAAAGAGGAGAGGCGTGTGCACCCTGGCCCCGGGTTGTCAGGAGGGTTTTGTGTGAGGGGCTGGACGGAAAGCTCTTAGAGCACGGCCCGCGCGGAGTGGTCACGCCTGCCTTGCTCTTTCCCCATTTCTCAGGTGAGCAAACTGAGGCACAGAGAGGTAAGGAACTTTCCCAAGCTCACACACCTCATGAGGGGCAGGCCAAGAACTGAACTCCAGAGTCCGTGCTGGGTGAACACTGTCCCATTCCTGAGGACTTCGGAGGGTGGAGGGAAGGATTTGCATGGCTTCCTCCCCAACAACCAGTGAACCTTGCTATCTGGAGCCAACGTTTTTTCAGAACCTGTGAGGCCAGGCTGAGGTAGGGCTGCTGGGAGGAAGTTTCTCGGCTTCAGGAAGGCCCAGGGCAGGGCTGGCGGGGGGCAAGGGCCAGGCATTGTTCACCGCCCGCCCAACACCTCAGCAAAGCCTGGGCAGGGCCTGTAGAGAGTTGTCACCAACAAGAGGAGCAGGCCCGGCCTCATTCCCCACTGGGGCTCAACCACCTTACCCTCGGGCGCTGGGGAGCAGGGCAGCTGGGGCCAGGGAGGAAAAGACCCAGATACCTGAAGAGAGAGAGAGGGCTCTGAGGCCTTTGGGCCCCTGGGCCTGGCCAGGGCCAGCCTCGCCTTCTCATCCCCCTGCAGCCAGGCCCTGGAGCTTCCTGGGCCCTCCCTCCTCTGCATCCCCGGGGGTCACCATCAACTGTCCCACGCCTGTCACACAGGAGTCCGACGGCAGGCAGTGGCCCACTCTAAGGGCAGGATCCTTGGGTGGAAGAATGGCTGCCAACAATTCCTCCCATCCCGGTAACTCGGCCACACAGTCCACCATCTTGCCTCCCCTGGTGTCTGGGTAGCCTGTGTGTGGGAAGTGCGTTGACCAACAGGATGACTTGGAAGTGACTGAGAGATTTCAGGCCTAGGCCTTAAAAGGCTTTACAGTATCCATTTCCTCCAGCTTCAAAGCCAGAGCCACATAAGAAAGAGGAGGACCCCACTAGAGAAAGGCCATGTGGAAGAAGCCCTAGAAACCATGAAGGGAGGAGAGAGGCCCTGCCCACCCCTGGCTGCCCAGCCAGCCCTGCTGCAGCCCCAGACCCATGAGGGAGGCTGGTTGGGCGCCCCATAGGACAATGCATGCAGTAGAGAAGAGGGGTCCCTGCCCAGCCCTGCCCAAACTGCAGAATCGTGAGCAAATCCATGCTGGTAGTTGCTTTGAGGCACTGGGTTTGGGGGTTGTTTGTTACTCAGCAATAGTTACCTGATACACTTCAAGTCATGAAATCTTGTTTCTGAAATCTTAGGATCATGGAGCCTGTCAGACCAGGTTCAAGTCTTGCTTCCACTGGTGGTCTGGGCAAGGAACATCGCTTCTCTGGGACTCGGTTTCCCCCCAAACAGGGATACCTACTTGCACGGAATGGGGAGAGGACACAGAGGGAATGAGCGTGGAGAATGGAACACAGGTTGGCCCAGAGGTGTTGGTCCTTTCTGCTCTGGGACAATCTGATACAGATGAGTCAGTGGTGGCCACCAGCCGAGACCGAGAGGCTAACTGCGGGGATGGCACAGGGCATCTGCTGCCACATCTCTGCCAGTGCCACCAAACCCCTGCTGCCCACCTGTCCCCAGCTGGGGTCACCCACTGGGGTCACCTTCGTGGGGCAAGGTGTGGGCAGGCTCCACAAGCCCACAGAACCCAGGGTAGTGGGAGCCTGCCAGCCCAGAGCAGAGTGCTCCCCAACTCCCCAGCTCCCCCCCCTCACTGGGCTCTCCCCCTCCTCCCACCAGCCCATTTCTGGCTTTCCTATTGGAGAAATTGCCAGAAAGTGGGGCGTGCAGTCCACCCCCAGGGGACTGTGGGACCAAATTTCTACACAGGAAGGGCTTGTGCAGGGTGGGGTGATCTTAAGGAAGGGATGTCTTTTTCTTTTAAGTAAGCTCTACGTACCACGTGGGGCTTGAACTCATGACCCCGAGATCAAGAGTCCATGTTCTACCGACTGAGCCAGCCAGGCGCCCCAGGAAGGGATGTATCTTAAACTGCCCTCTGTAGCAAGCAGGTCTACTTGGGGCTGATGGGGACTGGGGGGTTACCAAGACCCCCCAAGACCACCCTGGAGCTGCCACCACTGCTGTTCACAGATGGTCTGTCCCCAGTGGGCGGCCACATCAACCTGCGTGCCCAGTTTTGCCCTCCCCATCTCCTCCCCTCCTTCCTGTTGGCCAGGACACGCACGCTGCTCGCTGTCTCCTGGAAGCCTTGTCCCCACATGCTGGCCTCGCTTTATCTCGTTGGTCATCTCTGCACAGGAAGGAGCCTGGGTGGGTGCCAGGGCTGCCTAAGCAGATTATGTCATTCACCCCAGGGGGGTGGGTGGTTCAAAGCAACTGGGTCCTCAGGCTAGCCCCTAGGGGGCCCCGGGGCCCTGAGCTATCTTCACAACCAGACCCCAAAGAGGAAGCAGAGGCCCAGAGATGGGGAGTGGCCTCCCCACGCCACACAGCAGGGAAGAGATGGAGCTGAGCCTAGAATCCCCTTCCAGCTATCCCCACCCCCCCACCCCCCCACCCCCGCCCCCAGAGCTGCTTCCTGATCACATTCTTGGCAGCTCACAGGAAATGGCTTCTCTGGAGCTTAAGGGAGGATGTGACATGGCCCCAACTCCCCACACCCCATTTCCAGGGACCACTTCTCCTCTGCCACCGAGATCATCACCAACTTAAAAAACACTCATACCCATGGAGGACAGGTTCCCCACCACGATCTGTTCCTCCTAACACCTCGGGAGGGACCATCTCCACTTCATAGGTGTGGAAACTGAGGCACAGAGAGGTTCGGAGGACCTGGCGCTGGTGCGTATGGAGCCAGCCCTGATCTTCATATTGCCTGCTTTCTTTCTTCCTTTCTCTCTCTCTCTCTCTTTTTTTTTTTAAAGATTTTATTTATTTATTTGAGAGAGAGAGCACGAGCTGTGGGGAGGGGCAGAGGGAGAGGGAGAAGCAGACTCCCCGCCGAGCAGGGAACCCGATGCGGGGCTCCATCCCAGGACCCGGAGATCATGACCTGAGCCAAAGGCAGACACTTAACCGACTGAGCCACCCAGGCGCCCCAGATCTCCTGCTTTCCTGCCCCGTTCCCTCCAGCACCCAGCTCAGAGCAGGGAGTTTCTGCGAGCCATGAAGCCAGCCTTGTCTGTCCCCTCCACCTCCAGTCCTCCAGGCACTAGGCCCCGGCCCCGGGGGCAGGAGGAGGCACCGAGGGTCACATGGCAGACCCTGAGGCCACAGAGGAACTGTTACCTGGACCCCTGGCTCACAGGGAGGTGGGCACGGGCCAGGCCTCCTACCTTTGGGTTTGCAAACACCTGTGAGATTTGGGTCTCCGGGGCTGGAGCTGGGATGACAGCCGCCTCGTTCCAGCTGCCCCAGGGGATTCTGGGCCCCGCTGATCCCTGCAGTGTTCTCTCCCATAACCTTGAGCCCATCCTGCAGGAGGAGACGCTGAGCCTCCAAAGCCACACCGTGTAATGTGACGCCCAAATGGGGACAGAGACCTGGGCACACGCCCCAGGAACACCCCTCCAAGCTGCATAACCCTTGCCCTCCCTGAGGCTCCCTTCCCCTGCGGCCACACTGAGCGTGGCTTTCTTCTCACCCAGGCTGCCGGGTGGGCGCGGTATGAGGCTCATGGCAGGCCCGACCGGGCCCTCCTGAAGTGGGGCAGCCATCCCGGGAGGGGCCTGGATTGTGGACTTAGCTGAGGGCCCAGAGAAGGTGGCACAAGGACCCCTCCCCTGATTTCTTTCGTTTTCCGCCCGTCGCTTACTGCTGCTTGCTGTCATATGGTATACTCACTATTTCCTTGTTTGCTGTCTATCTCTCCCGGGGCAGGGCCGCAGCTTTGGTCCTCATCTGTGCGGTCCTAACGAGGAACTGTGCATCGGGTGAACGAGTGGCCATGGAGTAGGGCAGTGGGAGGCCAGTCCCAGAGGTGATGGGGCCAGGGCCAGGTGGGGTGGGGCTGGAAGAGGACGGATTCTGTCCAGGTGTGGGGGAGGAGGAAGGAGCTGGGGGGCCAATTCCCCAGTGGAATGTTTGATGGGGAAGGCGGTCCCCTTGGCCCACCACCCCTGACAGCTGGGCTCAGGCTGGGTCCCAGGTGTGACATCGCCGCTGGGCAGGGCTGGGGCCATGTCTCATCCCCTCAATATCCTCTGGGGCCAGGGCTGGTGCTTAGCCCTGAGATATGCCTGCCCCGCCCCATCTTCCACTCCTCAAACTCCAATCCCCCTTCCCCCTCCTCCTGGACGACTTCCTCCATTCTCCTGCTCCCAGCAACCTCCTGCCCACAAATTCCTCCTTCCTCTGTGCTTGTATGCACTCACTCGCTCACTCAGTTCTGAGACTGGCCCGGGTGATGGCCCCATGGGGATGCAAAGATGACCTCAAGAGACACAAACCTAGAAGCCAAGTCACAGCATTACTCAAAACCAGGCAATGCGTGAACGCTCTTTTAAAGAAAGTATTTCTCATGGATCCTGGGGTTGTCTTCAATCACTTTTATTATAATATGTCTTAGTTATGCATAGACACAGAACCAGAAAGGCTCTCATGCTCATTTTGGCCTCCAACAGGAAACCAAAGGAAAGTTATAGAACCGAATATAAAGAAGAGTAGCAGAAGCAACACAAATTCAAACTGACAACAGGAAAGGACCCTGCTGGCTTTCAGCACAGATGGGGCTGGTTCTCGGGGAGGGGCGGGGGGGGGTCCTCATGCCTCCCTGAGACTCCTCTGGTCACTTCCCTGTCCCCCACCCTGCAGGGCCCCAGCTGGGTCAGCGCCTGCGCAGTCCCCTGAGCTGCGCACTGTCCCCCTCCTTCCCCCCCCAGTGACTACAGTCTCAACCACCCTGGCCAACGGGAACCCAAACACATTGGGCGGGTGGCGGGATGTATTTGTTTTAATTATGGTAGAATATACACAAGATAAAATTTACCATTTTAACCATTTCTACGGGTACAGTTCAGCGCTGTGCGACCACCACCACCACCCGTCTCCAAAACTTGTCCATCCCAGTCGCTCCCCGTGCCCCTCCCCCAGCTCCAGGCGACCACCATTCTACTTCCTGTTTCTGTGAACTTGACTCCTCCAGGTTCTGCATATGAGGGAACCATACAGCATTTGTCCTTTTGCAACGGGCCTTATTTCGTTTACTCTAATACCCTCAAAGTTCGCATGTTGTAGCAAGGTCAGAGTTTCCTGCCTTTTATTTTACTTTTTTTTAACTATACTCCTAATGTGGGGCTCAAATCCACGACTTCAAGATCCAGAGTTGCATGCTCCACCCACTGAGCCAGCCCGGTGCCCCTGGATTTCCTTCCTTTTTAAGGCTGAATAACATCCTATTGTATGTGTACACCACATTTTGCTCTTCCATTCATTCATTCCTCCACGGGCATCAGTGAGTGGTTGCTTCCATCTTTCCGCTATTGTGAATAATGCTGCTGTGAACATTAGTGTATGAGGATCTCTTCTGTTCTTACTTCTTTTGGGTGTATACGCAGATATGCGATTGCTGAATCACACTGTAATTGTGTGTTTGATTTAGGACTTATTTCTAATGTGATTGTTCAGATGACCCTAAATAGGATTACAGCCAATTTATTTTTAATTCATAGATTCAACACCCACAAAATTTTATTTTATTTTTTAAAGATTTTATTTATTTATTTGACAGAGAGAGAAAGAGAACACAAGCAGGGAGAGCAGCAGAGAGAGAGGGAGAAGCAGACTCCCCACTGAGCAGGGAGCCCGATGCGTGTCTCCATCCCAGGACCCCGGGATCATGACCTGAGCCGAAGGCAGATGCTTAACTGAGCCACCCGGGCGCCCCGACACCCACAAAATTTTAAAAGCTCATACTCTGCAGCTTCTGTCCCGAGACTCCAGTGTGAGACACCCTAGAGCTGCCCCATCCAGTGGGGTGAGCATGAGCCACGAGACCCGGGACGGGGCTGGCTGCGTTCCGAAGTCCAACACGGGGGAAATACACCCATATTTCAAAGACTTAATATGAAGGAGAGCTCTTGTTAGTCGTATCTATGTTGATTACATGTTGAAATGATAATGTTTTGGCTATACCGGGTTCATGAAACAATAGCATTAAAATTAATTTCACTTGTTCCTTTTTCCTTTTTAAAATGTGACTGCTGGAGAATCTAACTTGGCATTTCTGGCTCGCATTGTCTTTGTGTTGGATGCTTAACCTAGCAGGTTAATCCAGGTGCTTTCCAAGCCTAGAGGAGCTGCCTAGAGCTTGGAAGCCTTGGTTTTCTCATATTTATTTTTAATTGAGGTGAAGCTCACATAACATACAATTACCCATTTCCAAGTGTACAGTTCCAAGGGGCACTGAGTGTTTTACAGTGCTGTGCACCCACCACCTCTGTCTAGATTCCGAGCCTCTCATCGCCCCAGAAACATGCGCCCATTAAGTAATCACTCGTAATTGTCCCCTCCCCTGCCCCTGGCAACCACTGATCTGCTTCCTTTCTCTATGGATTTGCCTATTCCAGACATTTCATTTAAAAGCAATAATACAATATGTGACCTTGGACGTCTGCCTTCTCTCACTGAACACAATGTCCTCAAGGCTCATCCCTGTTGTGGCAGGTGTCAGAGCCTCATTTGTTTTATGGTCGAAGACTACCCCGTTGTGCGGGTACCCTGCCACTTGCCGACCCCGTGGACGGACAGTTGGGTCATCTCCGCCTTGGCTCCCTGCGTGACGCCGCCGCCGACATTTGTGTATACGTTCTGTGTGGTTGTATGTTTTCATTTCCTGGGACTGGAACTGCTGAGTCACATGGTAATGGCTGGTTCTTTTCGTCGTTTTTTTTTTTTTTTTAAGATTTTTTATTTATTTATTTGAGACAGAGAGAATGAGAGACAGAGAGCATGAGAGGGAGGAGGGTCAGAGGGAGAAGCAGACTCCCCGCTGAGCAGGGAGCCCGATGCGGGACTCGATCCCGGGACTCCAGGATCATGACCTGCGCCAAAGGCAGTCGCTTAACCGACTGAGCCACCCAGGCGCCCCTCTTTTCGTCGTTTTAACATTCGCCTTACTCATGTCTCAGAGTTCTGGACACACATCGTTACAGAGTCAACTGGGTCCTCAGGGTGCGTTAGGATAGACACCTGAGCGCCACTGAAGGGAGCTCAGGGTAGGGGGGGACTTGTTGGGGACCCTCCATGTCAGTATTTTTTTTTAAAGATTTTATTCATTTATTTGAGGGGGCGGGGGCGGGGAGGAGCAGAGGGAGAGGGACAAGCAGACTCCATGCTGAGTGCAGAGCCCCACGTGGGGCTTGATCCCACAACCCTGAGATCATGACCCCAGCTGAAATCAAGAGTCAGAGGCTCAACTGACTGAGCCACTCGGGCACCCCAGCATGTCAGTATTTTTAAGACTTTATTCTTGGGAGGACCTGACTCTCTGGAGAGGACCTTCAGGGTTCTGCCTGGGGGGTAAAGGCCTGGCTGCCGCTGGAAGTAGGACAGGGGACAGGGGACAGGGGGAAGGGGACAGGGTCCCCAGCACGCAGAAGGCCCTGGCACTTGGCTCCCTGTTTTCAGAATGATGCCCCACCCCCAGGCCAGGGACAGCTGGTTTACCATCAGCAGACATAACTCCAGTTTTCTGCTGGGGTTGGGGTGGGTGACCACCTAGCCGTCACCTTCTGGAAGGGGATTGGGGAGTCTGACTGCTCCTTACTTTGCCCCCACCCAATATCCCCACCTGGGGCTGAGCCCTTGCTGGCTGTGTGGGGGTCCTCACCCTGGGGCTGAGCCCCGCCTGCCCCAACTGGCTTGGGACATGGCTCTTCTGAGCCCCTAACTCAGCCCCCTCTACACTCACTTCACTCCCCAGCTTCAGGGCTGCACGGATATGGTCTTTGTCCAGCCTGCCTCACCCTTGTCTATACCTTAGCACAAAAGGAAAAGGACACCCTCTCTGTAGTCTTTCTGGGGTTTGGGGAGGGGGGAGATTTAGCAAGGGTGTTCAATCTGCCATCCTTAGACAAGCTGTCGGGCCAAGACTAGCCTGGCCGTCCCAAGAACCCCGCGTCCTTTGGAAAGATTCCAGCCCCCACTTTGGAGAAGCTTCCTGGAAGCCAGCTCCAGGAAGGTCCCCGCTCAGCCCGGGTCTCAGGACTCACTCTGGCCGCAGCTCAAGGCTGCCTGGTCGTGCCCAGAGACTATGAGCCCCTCCAGGGCAGGAGTGTCAGCTGCGTCACTTCTGGTCACCTTCTTTCTCTCCCCCTCCCCGCCCCCGCCACAGCCCCCGAACACGGTGCATGCGGCCGCTGCCCAGCCCACTTAGTAGCTGGAGAAGAAAGGGACGGACACACGGGGAAGGAGATGGAGACTGGGGCGAGGCGGGGAGATGAGGAGCAGGGAGTGTGAGGGGACATCGTCCGCTTTGGTCTCCATGTCTCCTTTACCTGCTCTTGGGCCCTTCTCTGATCCTTGTCCTGGGTCTTTGCCCCCAGAGGCGCTCAGAAGCTCCGCAAGGCTGGGACAGGGACTCAGGCGCAGGCCACCCCACTGAGGGCAACGTGGCTGAGCCCTGCTGGCCCCATGTGGCTCTGTGCTCATTTCATTTCACGGTAGACAGCGCTTCAGGCCCACCATCCTTTTAGGGGCCCACGGAAATTGTTTACTTTCTTTCCAATCAGAAGAGAAAAATTAACTTTGGGTTCAAAGAAAATGTTTTACTATATAATAATTAATCCATGTGTCTTAATACCACTGCAGTTGTAAAGTGCAATGTCTAAAACTTTTTGGGAGGAGAAGAGACCCACGGAAGTCACAATGTGTCTTTGCCCCAGCCCGGGGTCACCCACCTGCTTGAGCTCCTGGCCACTCCGAGTGGGTCCTGCTCCTTCCCTCAGGACAGCTGGGTCCAGCTCCCTCCAGTGTCACAAACAGCCCTGCGCAGATTGCTGGGACCCCGAGACCAGTGCCCATGGGTCCGTACCTCAGCCCCAGGTTCCCTGCGGCCCTGGGGCAGGGATGCCGGGGAGAGGGTGAGCGGGGAAAGGCATGCCCGGAGAGGGAGCTGATCCTAGTCAGGCCCTGAAGAATGAATAGTTCTCACCCTGGGGAACCGGCCTCCCGGGCAGCAAGGGAAGCATTGGCAACGATGTGCCTAAAAGGGGTCTGGCCCATTCACAGGAGGGTGGGGAAAGCTGATCTGG